TTTCCCTGACAGACCATGCTCCTTCTCTGTTGCTAGAACACTATATCTGTTCTCTAGGCAAACCACTGCAGGTGGGGATGAAGACCTGCCCCCTGCCAGACGTCACAAGCTTCCAGTTTCCACCTTCCTGGGAGTCCATGTCCTCGTTCTTCTCTAGTGCTGCCTTGCAGTCCTTCCTCTCCAGTCCTAGAGGTCGTCTCCAGCATCCAGTAGATGAACTCCTCATGGTGGAGGGTGTTTCAGAGCCTCATCACTTCTTCCTGTAGCTCTCTTGCATGCTCCCTGAGGGACACCCCCGGAGGCACTGCTCACATCACGGGCATTCCCTCACCTGGCTGTCACTGGAAGAAACCTGCAAGCCACAGTCCCCACAGTGCCAAACCAGAACCTGGGTAGAAGCCTTGACAGTGGGCGGTCCTGCCTGGACAGCCACCTTGCAAGGTGCAAGCAGAGGAAGAGCTGGCAGTGGCAGTGGCTCTGGTTTTGCGACATCCTCCAGCCTTCTCTTAAATCTGTTGCCTCTCTCTTCCTGCTCCTTTCTCCAAGTAGGCCTTCCCTAATAAACTGCCCTGTAAGCTAGCCACTGCTCCTTGTAAACATCTTTCAGTGCGATTGCCAAACTGCTGGTTTAATTGTAAAAATATTTTGGTAGTTTCCTTTTCTCCCAAAGGAGCCTAAGCATTTTAGAAACGGTGGAACTTGCTACACTTGACACTAAATCGTTGTCTCCAAGCTGGAGCAAAGCATCCAGCCCTTTTGCTGCATGCATTTAGGAGGTAAAGAATACATCTATATTTAATTGAAACTAGATGCTTAGTTGTGTAGAATTAAGCCTGTCTGAACCTGAGGATTTTATAATACTGATGCCTATGCAATTGTATAAATCATGATGCAGCTAGTTTGCACTGTGAAATAAATGATAGTCAACCTTTAAGTTAATTAAGTTGGCATTCATCAAGTTCATAGTGATAGTGTTCACAACAGAACACATCTGCTTCTATAGAGTTGTGTGACTTCTGAGCAAAGTGAGATATTCCTGCTATAACTTCCCATCTTCAGTGTTGTACAAATAG